AGGACTGGAAATTAGTAATGCCAGGAATACACAAGTCTTTAATATTAGGAAGAGGCAGATGTATCAGATTGAAGGCATTTTTAGTAGATCTTTTATTCTAAAGAAATTTTAGCATTTTTATAGGTCATTACTTCCTTCATCACCAGATGTCCTACTAATCAATGGCAAAAAATGACTCATGGAAGAAGGAAGTACTCATTTTCCTTGTTAGACCAGTAATACATTTTATGGACTTGAACTTCCAACTCTTTCTAAAATAGTTGTATTTTTAATCTTAGGAACAGTTGTCTACCTAAGTCTAACAGTCTACTTTGCATATCCCGAAAGCAAGAAATGTTCCAAAGAAAATGCATAAAGAAAAAAAGTTAAAGCTACTAGAGAATGCTGTGTGGGATTATCAAGACAGGAAAACTTTGCAGATGTTACTGTCTCTCTAGAGGAATAAATGCTTGAATTTTAATATTCTCAGCAGCTGGTTCCTGTTGAATGCCATCAGGATGATTCAGCCACCTACCAGAAACACCAGTAGCAGCAAGTGCACTCACATAGCTCGAAAGATACATACGAAACTTTTATGTTTTCAGAACAGTTACTTTGATATAGCCAAAGATTTATTAAATGATTCCCAATACCATGAATATTATCATTTGAAATAAAAACAGGCTATAGCCACATAAAAGACACAAGCCCTCTTTTTTAGGGTTTACTATGTACATTCAACTTCATATGAATATCATTGTTATTTACTTTTTACTTAGCTAATGGCATCTTGCCTCCCCATCACAAACAATGCCTACTGCTTGTTGCATTAGTTAAACTAAACCATTTCTATCCCAACTACCACTCTTGTAGATTGAATTATGAATAATTATTTTAATTATTTATTTAAAACATTTATATGCCATCCTTTCAATGTCTCAGGATGGCTTACAACATTAATTATTCCTTTCTTGCCTGGTGTTAGGAATATAGGTTAAAAGTAAATAGCTTGTCACCTTAATTTTTTTCCTAAATAACCTTTAGGAACTCTGAAACTTAGGTGACTGGATCTTTTCCAGATATTTTAAGAACTGCTAACAATGAATGCATCTGGTACTTCTCAAATAGTGTCCTAACAGACACACGTAACCCGGATCACATCTCTTTCTCGTTACGGTTTATTCTGTATTTGTATTATAAAGTTGGCTTGGGTGCTTTGGCAGAGAGGCAGCTCATAAATATTGTAAATAAATAAGGCTAATATGCCATACTCAATTTCAAGGCACCTACCTAGAACCCTTCCTCTCGTCCAATTCTTTTGTATTTTTGTAGTTAGATTTAATTCATTGTAAATCCAACCATGAACTAACTGGCAATAGAAAACATACCGAGTAAAACAGCACTTCATTAAGTGGTCTAGTAGGAATGAGCAAGTTTGTTTTTTAAAAGTGTGGTACTATGACACTATTTTATTTTAAAAGGGTTCCTTGAGAGGCATCCCTCAAAATGCAGCTGCTGCAGATATACAAGAAAAAAATGCTAAGGTATCTAAAATGGAAACATAGTGAAATATTACAGAGAGTGCATACTGCTCTAGTACAACATAATGGTGACAATCTCTTAATTACCATTAAGCAATGGGAAGCAAACTTGCATGTACTCCTGCTCCAATTATAAACCCTGATTAATTTTAACCTGGTGATGGTGTAGAGTTGGGGTTAACACCATGGTTAACATGAAAAACCTGTGGTCCATTCCTGGCATTATCAACCATAAGATGATCAAAAGCAGTGCATATATACCAAACTCAATGAAAGTTTGAAATTGATTAGAAAAATCAACCAGGCAGGTTTCCTAGCTTGGTCGTGGAAATGACCAGAAAAAAATCAAGTAATTTATTAGAAAAAGAAAGTTGGAGAATTTCCTTGCCTGGGTGTGAAACTGTCCAGAAAAGGCAAAAGTTAACAGCTCCCTTGTAAATATGTTTATTTAGAAGTGGAACTACAACCCACTTGCCTGTGCAAACAATTTTTTTTTTTAGTTTAAACACACACATACATCAGGTGAAGGGATTAGATCAAGTTCTTCCAAGATACAGCATTCCTAGGAGAGTACCTCAGACTGAAGGTGAGAGCTGGAGGGGTGGTTGGAATTCTTCGCTGAAATTCCAAGTTTAGCAAGCTTTGACATAAGTCCAGCAGCTGGTGAGAACCAAATCCCCATGAGTTCAAGGGATGCCTTGGTAGGTATATAACCTAATCGGTCCTATCATTTGACGCCAGGTCAAGAAATCTAGTCAGTAAACCTAGTCCGGCATTCCTACCATCTGGCCCTCAAGTAGCAGGAATTTCCCTGAGGCTGAGGCTCACTTCACTGTGGTGGGGAAGGGAGGAGGGGGATTCTGTTTGGAATTGACTTCTAGCATAAGTAGTATTCAATCTCTAATTAGCAGGCTCATTACCTTGATGGATGTTTCTTGCTAACAATCTTTCTATTATCCTGTTTGTAATACAAAACCAGTTCTGGATAGCCTGATGAAATATGATAAAAGACTACAGTTAGAACCCACTCATCTTTACCTGCTACAAAGGGAAAAGGAGAGAGGGTGAGGTGAGTGGGGTGGAAATAAAATAGTGCTAAAAACCTCATTTCAAAATTATAGGAGAAGGGATTTGGGATGACCATGAGAGGCTGGGGAAAGGGAATTATGCTGCACACTTGTTGCATTCACTACAGGGACATAGCATAGTGAGAGGCACACACAGAACATTACTAGACCTCCTGAAATCACAGGAATTCCTTTCAGCTTAAGTACAAGAGTAGAAGTCCTGGGTACTCCACTAAAAAAGGATATAGAAAAAATGAACCAGGCAAGAGGATAAAGCAGGGACTAGAACTACAGTTTTACTTGACCTAATCCTAATCAACAGGGAGGATGTTGTGGACAAAGTAGCAGCTATGGGAATTCTGGGAGAAAGTGACCATGCCTATGTGAATCCTCAGTTATACAGGAAGATAAAACTACATGTAGCCAAATATGTACCTTGGATTTCAACAAAGCCAACTGTAATGAATTCGGGGTGATGATTAACCAAGTCCCATGGCAAGACATAGAGGAAAAAGGAGCCCAGGAAGGGTGGGATCTCTTATTTTTTTTACAGACATGCTTAAATCTCAACTACAAACAATTCCAAAAAGGAAAAAGAGTGGTAGACAACAGAGGAAGCCCATGTGGCTTCACAAAAAGCTAAGTGATCATCTGAAAACAAAAAGGGACATGTACAGTAAATGGAAGGAAGGGCAGGCTAAAAGGGAACAATATAAGCAAGTAGCAAGGAACTGCAGGGATGATGTCAGGAAGGCTAAAGTGATTGGTGAACTGAGGCCAGCAAGACAACTAAAAACAACAACATCAACTACTACAACAAAAAGCCTTCTTCAAATAAGTCCAAAGCAAAAGACAAACAAAAGAGAAGGGAGTTCAGCCACTCACTGTGGATGGAACAATGATAACAGATGACAAAGAAAAGGCAGAAGCGCCCAAATCCTACTTTGGCTTAATCTTCTCCCAAAAGAAAAACCTACAACCTTCCTGACAAAGGTGTAGTGCAAACTGAAGGGAAGGATGGCAGAGCAAGACTGATGGGAAAATTGTCAAGGAACTTCTAATTGGGGCTAAATGGGTTCAGATCCCCAGGGTTCAATCAACTTCATCCTACAGTCATTAAAGGACTAGCAGAAGAATGCTCAGAACCACTGTGGACCATCTCTGAGAATTCTGGGAAGACAGGGGAAGTGCCAGATGACTGGAGAAGGGCTAATATTGTCCCTATCCATAAGGAAGGAAAATAAGATGACCCTGGGAACTATAGAATCTGACATCAGTCCCTGGAAAGATTCTAGAACAAACAGTCTGCAGACACCTCAAAGACAATGCAGTAATTACGAGAAGCCAACATGGATTTCTCAAGAAAAAATCCTGCTCGATTAATCTAATTTCACCTTTGACTGGGTAACCTTCCAAATGGACGGTGGGAATGCTGCGGACGTTATCTATCTAGAATTTAGCAAAGCCTCCGACAAAGTGCCCCACAATATCTGGATTACCAAACTAGCAAAAAGCAGGCTAGATAGTGCAACCATTAGGTGGAGTCAAAATTGGCTGCAAAATCAGACTCAAAATCATGGTTTAGATTAGGAAGTACAAGGAAAAAATTAAATTTACAGATGGCACAAAGCTAGCAGGAATAGCAAATACCTAGGAACACTAGTAGGAACATTCTAGCACTCTGTCTATAGTACTATGTATCTTATCTCTGGAAGACAGAGTTATCATACAGGATGATCCTGATACGTTAGAATGCTGGGCAGAAAACAACAGAATGAAATTCAGTAGGGACAAATGCCAAGTCCTCCATTGAGGAAGAAGAAACCAAATGCACCACTTCAAGATGGGAAATCCTTGGCTCAACAATACTGCAAATGAGAAGGATCTTGGAGTTGTTGCAGATCACATGACAGAGTATGGCTATCAGCACGGCACCAGAAGTGTGGCCCACAGGGAGTCCTGAATGGAAAGTGGCTCTTGGTTACCATAAATTTCCCACTATTGCACTAAACAGTGTTTATCATGTAGCATAATTCTTAGGCACAGAATGTAGATGAAATCCACACTTTTAAATATGTCCTCCCATGCTCCCTAAATGGAATCTTATCCTGTTTGTGCACTGACGCATGGTGGTTCTTAAGGTTTAAGCAAGGACACATTGCAGTAACTTCATTGGGTAGAACATGTTTATCTATGCCATTTTACTTTGAAATTCTAGAGGAAGATATGCTTTAAAACGAATAAATGACAAAGAGTAAATGAAACAAAGATATGAAATAAGAACAGCTCATCTGCATTCAAGCATGTAAGATCAATGTTCATTTTTTTATTCAGTAATAAAACTGATCAAAAATGGAAAAAGTATAGGAAAGAAAACCAATATGTTAATAACAATGTTAATATGTTAACTTACATTCAAAGAAGTCTTCTGAATTTTTGTTTAGAGCAAGCACCCAGAACTCAAGATCTGCAAATCTGCTTTCTGGCTCTTATGCAGACTTGGTCAACATGGAACTTCAACAAAGTTGTATGAAAATGCTTGTCTGTCTGTAAAACACAATTTATTTATTTATTTAGCTATTTATAAACCAGCTGCTCCATATTCACATTGCAACTAAAACAGCTTACAGCAATCAAGCACCTGACAATAACAAGCACTGAAACTCTACAGTAAAAGGTAAAGTGGATAGTAAAAAGATCCAGAGTTAAACAAAATTTTAAAAACAAGTAAAATGAACAAGCAAGCTGATTTTTAAAAAAGTCAGGTTTCTTTGCCATGCTCCAAAATAACCACTATGTGCACCTCAATAAGGAAAGCATTCCATAGCAATGATGTTCCACAGTGAAAGCCTAGGTCCTTTCAATTCCTAGATCTTGAAAAGGTTTACTTGAAAAGTGGCCCAATTTTTTTAAAAAAATAAAAGAAGGGTAGATATACAACAGAGTGCTCTACATAGATCTAACACCATATAGACATATATGAGGCAAGAGGAACTAACTGGTATGCAAGAACTGCATTGTTTGAAACTTTGAAGATCCACACCAACATGTAGAACAGGGCCCAGAAGCAAAGAGGCAAGGCACTGTAGATGTGCCAATACAGCAATACCCTGTAGGTTCACAGTGTTCTTCATTACCTGCCCCATCAAAACAAGGCAGTGTCCACTGAGCACATTGCAGTAATCCAACCATGAAATTCTGAAAACATTGATAACTCGGGCCAAATTTCAGTGATGAAAGTACTGCAAATAGCACACTGATCTCATTTGATAAGACCCTCTTGCCCATAATTGTTACCTGGGAAGCTTGTAGCAAAGTATGGTCTGTAAGTATTCATACCTTGTCCTTCATTAGCAGTATAACAGTAGCAAGATAGGAAAATCCACAGTCCTACTAATTCTAGAATCATAGAATAGTAGACTTGGAAGGAGCTAAAAAAGCCATTGAGTCCAACCCCCTGCTCAGTGCATGACTCTAAGTTAAAGCATCCCTAACTGATGGCTGTTAGCTGCATCTTGAATACCTCCAGTATGGCGAAACCCATGGCCCACCTAGGTAATTGGTCCCATTGCTGTACTGCTCTAACAGTCAGTTGGAATCTGACTTCCTGTAACTTGAGCCTATTATTCTATGTCCTGCAAGCTGGGGTGACTGAGAAAAGATCATGGTTCTCCTTTCTGTGACAATCTTCCAACTACCCAAAGAGGCATGCTCCCGTTTTCTCAAGGCTAAACACACCCAAGTCTTGCAGGCTCAGCTTTCAGTTCCCTGATCTGAACCTTTTCCAGTTTATCTGCATTCTTCTTAAGTGGTGGTACCCAGAATGGCATACAATACTCAAGATGAGGCCTAACCAGGGCTGAGTAGAGGGGAACTAGCACTTCTCATGATTTGAAGGTGATAATTCTATTACTGTAATGCATCCCAAAATGGTATTTAGCCTTTTAGTAGCTATATCTCATTGTTAACTCATATTCAGTTTGTGATTTACAATTCCAAGATAATGCTTGCTTTGTAATATTGTTCAGCCAAATATGCCCCATCTCTAACTATGCATTTAGTTCCTTTTTCCTGGGTGCAGAACTTGCCATTTGTTTCTATAAAATTTTATTCTGTTTTTTTTTTTTTTTTTGGTTATAAATTCCCACTTTGTTAATAAAATTTTTTTTTTTTTTTTTTTTTTTTTTTTTTGGCCCAGAACTCCATCCTATCAAGATCATTTTAATTTTGTTTCTGTCTTCTGGAGTATGAGTTATCCCATCCAATTTTGGGTCATCAGCAAATTTGTTAAGTATTCCCTGAACTCCCTAATCCAAATAATTAATAAAAATGTTAAAGAGTACTGGTTCCAGAAACTGGGTAACTTTGTCAAAAACTTTGCTAAAGTCAATATATATTATGGCCACAACATTCTCAAAGTCTTCAGGTAAATCACCTGATTAAAACATGGAATCAGACTAGCCTGGCAGGATTTGTTCTTGACAAATCCATGCAGGCTTCCAGTAATCACTGTGTTGTTTTCAAGGTGTTTGCAGATTGTCTTAATCTGCTCCAGAATTTTCCCAAGGATTTATGTCAAACTGACTGATCTGTGGTTCCCATGTTCCTTCTTTGTTCTATTTTTGAAGAGAGCTCTAGGTCAGTTCGTGTGTGTGTGTGTGTGTGTGTGTGTGTGTGTGTGTGTGTGTGTAGTCTGGAATAAGCTTTGTTAATCTTCTGCCAGTTTACAACTACATTATTTGTTCAGGGAATCCACCACTACTTATGGATTTGACAAAGAAGAAACACAGAACTGGGTGTCATCAACATATTGATAAGACAACTCTCTAGAATTACAAACAACTGCTCAGCAATTACATATAGGTGTTAGAAAGCATTAAATAATGCTAATAGCAGAATGCTATAGTAAGTTTCTAATAGTTAATATTTATTTTTAAAAATCTTGACATTGCCTGATCGGTGCTATAAAATGAATATTACTGTTAATCACTGAAATGTCTTGGGGATATCAAAATGTTTTTCTGTAATCTATATGCATGTCTATGTTCACCTCTTCCTACATGCATCTGTTTTCCTCTATGAAATTTAACCAGCTCTAGAGTATAAAGCAGTAGTGTTTTAAGAATGACTAATCATTCATAGTTTATGTGAATAAAATAAAATTCTTATATGCAACTGAATCTTTACAAAGAATATATGGAAGCAAATGATAATGATACAGGTTTACAATCATAATGCATACTCTAATTTGCATTCATCCTAGATATGTATGCTCCAACCTACTAAAATAAAAGCCTTACATTTTCAGACAACTTTTTGAAGCATCTTGATATGTACATGGAAAAATAATGTGTAACAAGTAACATATATGCGATCATATATATCTAGCTATACCAAGGAGCTAAAATTGACTACTGTTTCCCATCAAAAGTAGACTTGAAATGGCAATATAGCTTTTGTCAATATGTAAGGTGTGAAATAGCTATGTGTTAGGAGAATTTCACATAATGGACCCTTCCTTTTGTGGACCCTCAATAGTGGAACAGGTTTCCAAGAGTGGTCTGGTTACCACTGCCTGTCTTTCTTGTACCATATTAAAAACCATTTTTTCTCAATCAGGACTTAATCTGGGTCTCAGTTTTAAAATCTGTGTTTTACTGTGGGTTGCTAATAGTTCTGTTGTCATACTTTATACCATATTTCATTGTACGGTTCAGCTTAAAATGGTTGTGTTATTGTAAGCTATCCAGAGAACTTTTTAATGGGCTGGCATGGAAGTACAATCATACAATCCTTGTTCTATCCAGACCAATAAATGTGCTAAGTCAAAAGAAGGTGCTATGGTTGCAGGTTACAATATATATCTATTTATAAATGTTTCAGCACTTTGGAGACTTATTCTTTGGGGTAGGAGAGGATAAACACATGCATCCAAGCTAATGTAGTGCTTGGTTACAGCCATTTTCTGCCATATCTTTTCACATACTCCCCCACCCCCATACTGGCATTTAAAACATTAGTGCCTGAAGCTGCTAATGATTACAAAGCAAAACTACTGAATTTTATAAGTGGTCCAGGAGCACCAGAGGCTGCTTTCAGAATGTGAATGTGGGGCTCATCCATCCACTGAAAAAGTTATGTAGGAGGTACCCTGCTAGGTGTATCAAATCCCCAGTGTTTTAGCAGGAATTTACATGAATTTTGAATGTAGTAAGTAGTAGGGGAAGGAGCAGTTTGAAGAAAGAGATTTTAAGTAGAAAAACAGCTATTTGTAAAAGGTTAACCATTCGTCTTTCTTCTTACTGCTTTTCTAGTTAAAACCATAGGTTATTTCACTTGCATATAATATGTAATTTGCTCCTAAGAGCAGTATAGAATGTCCTACTAACCCAGGAAAAAATGTGTACGTGAAATGGAGAGCAAAGTGTTAGAGAGAAACTTGTTAGCAACATTATATAAACTACAGCAGATATGTCTTATTTTGCTTGTTACCAGTTTACTGTGTTACTGGAGATTTCTGTACAAATGCTGTAAAATTAACAGAGGACTCACAAAGCAGAGGATTTTTTTTAAAGAAAGAAAACAACAGCTGATCTCCTCACAGGCAAAGACTTTGGCAACTTTCTAAACACACATAATTTTCTTTGGTATTTCCTGATTCTCTGGCCAGAAAAATAATTACAGAACTTATTTTCTGTAGGGAAGGAACAGAAATTGTTTCTCACGCTAGATCTGCAGGCTTTCTGGGATACATAGTAGAGATTAGCAGGTCACAGAGAAATTTTATTATCTGGGGTAATGAAAAGACTGCATTAACAGACTAGCTCCTTTTCTACTCTTAATATGGCCAGAACTTTAAAAGACCGCCTGAGCAGAAAACAAGTCTTTGAGGAATGCCAAGGGAATTCTTAATGGAAGGAACCAATTCAGTTCACAATTTTGATTTCATTGAGAACAGCAGTAAGCACAAACTCTTGTGAAACATATCTCAACTGCAATATCAAAATTAAGAACTTTAACTGTAGGGGGGAAATGTCAAGAAAAATCACCTGTGTGATAAGTGATCTAGAGGCACTGGGCTGAAACTGTATTTTTTAGATATGGGTATTAGAAGCCTTACATTTCAAGCAGCCCTGATAAACTACATAAAATTTGGGATGTACCTTTTTATATATCATAAAATGGGGGATTTATGTAGGAAGAATACACTTGGTCTTAAAAATAATTAGGCATATACAATATGGCACAGTTCAGTAGATACAATTTTTTGTTATTGTTTTGTTGGTTTTTAAAAAACTAGTTAAAGCACGAAGGGGAAATACTAACTAGCACTTAATACAGAATCAGAACTGTGCTTGTTTGACTCTCTGATTTTCATTTTATTATTCCTGGATGAAGAAGGAAACAGTCCTAAGAAAAACTCAGTTTACTAATGTTCTCTGAAAAGGTGGTTATCAATACCATCAAATAGGGCAATTCCTATTCAGAAGAAAGCTCCACTGAGTTTAATGGATCTTAATTCCAAGTAAGTAAGGATAATATTGCAA